CAGAGGTAATACTAATAATTTAGAGAATATTTTAATTTGATTTGATATTATTCGTTTTCACAATTTTCAGTACGGTTTGATTTGACCCAATTGAATTGATTTGCTCAACCCTTTTATATGGGATTAATGCACCAAAACCCCACGTGAAATAAAAATCCGGCGCAATAAACCCCTGTGATTTAAAAAATGCGTCAAACCCACTTGTGTTATAATTAATCATGCGCCAAACCCCCTCCAAGAACAAATTTAATTTCCAAAAAAATGAAAAATGGTTAGTTTATTTGTATAATTTAGAATTTTTGACAAAGTTACTTGCATATTCATCCATATTATTAAAAAAAGTGATTTCAAAATTGTAAAATTTGTTCTTAGAAGGGGTTTTGCGCATGATTAATTATAACACAGGGGGGTTTGACGCATTTTTTAAATTACAGAGGGCTAATGCGCCGAATTTTTATTTCACGAGAGGGTTTGGTGCATTAAACCCCTTTTATATCGTACCATTTTTTGTCCACGTAGATTATATTTATAATGTAAAATAAGTTCTTTTCACACGCAAAATTGCATTGATTATTTAAAATATTTATTCTTTGCAAAAGTATTATTTGCATGAATGAAAAAGGCGCTGTGAAAATAAAATAATTTTTATGTCACATTTGTAATACAATCTTCCTAAATTATTATGTATAGTAAACTTAAATATTTTCCTAAATTGAACTCCAAACGTCTTACTATCACAATTTATCTCTTAATTTATCAATTCATAATTTACTCCCTCTGTCCCGAAAACAACCTCCCGGTTTGATTTTCACACACTTTTAGAAAATAAATTTGACTTTACTGTAGAGTGCACTGTTTTGCACTGTTTAAACATTGTTTGGCACTGTTTAAACATTGTTTGGCATTGTTTAAACACTGTTTGGCATTGTTTAAACATTGTTTGGCATTGTTTAAACACTGTTTGACACTGTTTATCACTTTTTTATGTAGATAATTTGCCAAATAAGGAAAGTATTGAAGTGTGAAGTTAATTTTGGGACATCCATTTAAGAAAAGTGGGAAGTTGTTTTTGGGACGGAGGGAGTACTTTTCTAGACTCATCTATTTTTTCTTACTTTTTTAAAATTTAGGATTCAAAGATACTAAAATGACAATATTTTTGTTATTTTTCTTATTTTTACAAAATCCCACCAAATAAAAAGATGGGAATCCCCTTAAATTTTTTGGGAAAAGAGTCAGATAGGCCTCAAACTTACATAAAAAGGTCAAATAAACCCTTATATAGGAGGTTCTATCCAGCCGTCGTCATTTGGGGCGGTTCCCGCTGGAATTGTTTGATGAAATTTTTTGAGCATCTTATTCATCGAGTCTAGTTTACTCAAACCAAATTTCAGCTAAAAATTTAATCTGGAAGGCATTCAAATGAATTCTTGAATGTCTTCAAGAATTCATTTGAATGTCTTCCCGATTGAGTTGTGAGCTGAAATTTAGTATGAGTAAACTAGACTTAATGAATTAAGATTCTCAAAAAATTTCATCAAAAAATTCCACCGGGAACCCCCCCAAATAGTGAATACCAGACTGAACCTTCTATATAAGAGCTTATTTGATATTTTTATATAAGTTCGAAGGTCTATTTAACTCTTTTCTCTATTTTTTTTTAAATCGCATCAAATAATGTACTGGAGAGTAGAAATTAGTAAAATAGGACCCATGGTAGTGAATGGAAAGACGTGATAGAGCGTGACCATAATAAATACTCCAATGAAAGTTGAAACCAATTCGTTTTCATTCATTCATACTCCCTCCGTAACTTTAGAATCTTCCCATTTCAAAAGTAGGTAGATTAAGAATAGTGAAAGATGATATGAATTATTGAGGGTATGATGGGAAAATAGTGGAATAATGTGGTGGAATGTAAGATAAATCCAAAAAAAGTAGTTGTAATAGTGTATTATTTTATAAATTATTGAGGGTATGATGGGAAGATTTAGAAATGAGAAGATTTTTGTGTTACGGACGAAAAAGGAAAGTGAGAAGATTTTTAAGTTACGGAGGGAGTAATATCTTACTGCTACTTTATGCTCTCCAGTAACCTAACCTCTGTTCCAATCTGCACCCACAGCTACTCTGCAGTGGCCTAAAGCTAGTTCTAGCATAACCCAGAGGACAAGTGAAAATTTTATGGATGAAAAGTACTCTTAAAACCCTTTAAAGTCACTTTCTAATGAAAAATACGTATAAATCTGGCACTCATGCAATTTCCTAATTTTGGTCATAAATAAGAATGCTGCAAAAAGAATAGTACGGAGTATGAGCCAAGTGGATGTGTACTTGGACTGATGGCCATACTGTACATGTAAATTGGAATTTACTAAGTTTTGTTGGTATCTTAGACCAAGTTGAGTGATTTCTCTTCCACCCCTAGATAGAGAATCACATGGGTCCATTGAGCAATTTTTTTTCTTACCAATTTTTATCACAAAAGTAAAGGTTTAGGAAAAAACTATTTCTCTGTATGTATTTTTATCACGGTATATTCATAGATAAAAAATACCCTCACCGACGACCAAAGCCGGTTCTGATATTTTATAGATTCAGGGAAATGAAAAACAAAAGGCCCTTAAAATGGAGTCCGTAATAGTATATGAAGTACATAATATATTGAAAACGTAACCTAAGAACAATAAATTTTAATGTACAAAGCAATGTTAGCATTTCATCAAATAACACCATAATATAAAAGAAGACATAAGCACAACTGCACAAGCACATACGGAGTATTACAAAAATGAAAAACATGTTTGTAAATTGTAAATTTAAAGTGTTAAAATATACCGAGTATGAGTTACAAGAATGAAAAATTACATTTTTTTATTTTTAAAGTTTGGTATACTTTCATCTTTGGATGTATTTAAAGTTTGTCACGTTTTTCACTTTTGAATTATTGGAATAATTGAACAATGAGGAATAGAGTATGTGAATACTCATATCTGTGTATATTTATATACTTCGTACATAGTACTCCGTAATATATAGATGTGTGTGGTGTCGAAAATTACAAAAAGACTAACACGACCGTCACAAACTAGGAAAAATGAAAATTAATAATCCAATCTTTTAATAGTTTTCTTACAATAGTCTCATCTTTTCGTTATTCAAGAATAATCCAACCTTTGCACCTCATCTTCATTTGCTGGTCCCTGATCGGTTATTGACCTGCTATTTCAAGTTATTTTTTTATCTTTGCAAAATATTATCTTTGTGAAAGGTGAGATTTATAGAATAATGGTGCAAAATAATATTTTAATTAAACACGTAACTTTTGTTTGTGCACGTTGAGTTGGGTAATAAATAAAATAAGGTTGAGATTACTTTTCTGGTTGGATTTGTTGAAGTTATTGAAGAAGACCATTCTAGCTTTTTACATATTTTATTTTATTTTATTGATAAAATAGGAGTATATTTTAAATATTTTTTTAAAAATTGAACAGAATCAGCCAATTCAACCACAATTTTATAAATTTGAACAGAATCAATCGATTCGACTAATGTTAGTGTTATCAAAAGGGCATCGAGATACTACCTCCGTCCCTTGAAACTTTGCCAAGTTTGACTGGCACGGAGACTAATAAAGTAAAAACTGTGTGGTTGAGGTTTGTGCAGAGGAGAGAGAATTAACTGAAACCACAAATTCTTTAATTAAAATAGAAAGTGGCAAAGTTATTGGGACAACCAAAAAAGGAAAGTTAGCAAAGTTTTAAGGGACGGAGGGAGTATTGAATAAGGGCATAGTCGGATCCTGCAAGTTCAGATACACCCTCAATTTTGATAATTTTTTGAAAGTTCTTGTTGTACATACAAATCTATACACGTCGTCAGCAAGTCCGACCCTAGGCAAGGGAGACTTGTTGATAATTTATAGGGGCTCATAATTTTATAATATATACTCCCTCTGTCCTTAAAAGAAGTTACATTTCACTATTCAATTGGTCAACTTAAATCACTCTTAATCTCTTACTTTTTATATCAAAATTTTATAAAAGTTGAATTATTTTTTGCAGACTTTGTAGCGGGTTTCATGTAGTTTCTGAATATGTAAGTTTTATTTACTAAAAATAATCCAAGTTTTCACAGGGATCATTTAACTTTATCGTCGATCAAGCTTCGTAATCCGCAATTGGAACAACATTTAGGGACGGAGGAGTATATAATACTATCTCCGTCCCACTAAGTTTGGGACATGAGAATGTGACATGATTATTAAGAAAAGTGAGTTTGTGTGGTTGATATTAAATTGATAAAGTAACAACAAAGTAAGAATGATTTAGAGCCACACAAACTTTGCCAAATTTGGATGAAACAATCTTAGTGAGACTTCCCGAAAAGGTAAAACAGGATAATCTTAGCGAGACGGAAAAAGTAATATATACGGAGTATTTATTTATTTAAAAGTAAACGGCAAGTCAACTGGTACTCAATAACTCATGCATGATGCATTCAAGATTACTCTGTAATTTACTCTTCATTTTTGGAATTACAACGTTCTTTTTTACATTTTGTTTCCATTAACCTTATTGATTGCTATTGATACTTCTCATCAAATAAGATGTTAATCATAGGTTGTGGGGAAAATGAAAACTAATAATTCAACATTTTAGCGGTCTTCTTACAATAGTCTCACCTTTTTGTTATTGATGAATAATCCAACCTAAACATTGCAATATGACATAATTATGACCAAATATGATAAACATTTTGACACAATTAACTTTTTTAGATAATTCAATATTTTCACCAGGTACATCATTGATCATACCGCAAATCCACATAGAAGTATTAGAACAATAGGCGGATATAAACTCATAAAAGGGAGCAAAACTCAATCTAGCATTTGAATGTGAGACAAAGATATAAACATTGCTTTACTTGCAAGTGTAACATACACAAACAATAAATATTATTCAAACTTTACCGTAAGACAGATATTGATGGAATAAATTGTACTTACTTTGATACAATGAACTTCCTGAAAATGGTCAAGGAGGAAAATTTTGTGAATCTGTAATTTACAATGAAATCAATTCTCTATCAAAATTTCACCCTCACAATCAGTTAAAAGTTAAAACACTTGTGAACTGGGGATTTCAGAACAGAAGCTCATAGTTAGGGGAGGCCATCTTTGAATTTAGTGAATTAGAGTGAAAAAAAATGAACCAATCATTCTACACGATGCTTCCATGATCAGAATCGTTGTCGTAGTAGAAGGACGTGATTTTCCCGTCCTTCGAACCCGGCATATTGGGTTGTTTCCCAGGGCCCACTTCTTGCAGCATCTTCACCACCCGTCTCATTGAAGGCCGGTTAGCAGGCAATGGGCTAGTGCAGAGGAGGCCAATGTTCATAACTTTGCAGATTTCTTCCTTGAAACAAGAATCCAATTTTGAATCAATGACATGATCCACGCCATTCTGGTCCAATGTGGTGCATGTCCACTTAACTATATCCTTATCCCCGAATTCGGGATCTATCGGGAGCCTTCCAGTAACTAACTCCAATATCACTACTCCAAAGCTGTATATGTCACTCTTCTCGTTCACCCGAAGCGTGTAGCCATATTCTGCAAATGCAAATGAAATTTGTGTAAATTAACAGAAACTATAAACATTTGTGGTTTCAAGTTAAAAAGTCCCTCTGGTAAAAAGAGAAAGTTAAAAAGTCCCTTGTAAAGAAGAAGAATCCAAGTTTTTGTATTTTTATTTGTTACTTCGTATTTCATATTAAGCCAATGTGGAAAAGATGAAGAAACAATACCGGGTGCAATGTAACCACGAGAAACTATAAACCTTTGTGGTTTCAAGTTAAAAAGTCCCTCATAAAGAAGAAGAATCCAATTTTGTGTATGTTTATTTGTTATTTCATATTAAGCCAATGTGGAAAAGATGAAGAAACAATACCGGGCGCGATGTAACCACGAGAGCCTGCAATGCCAGACATAAGTTTGGTTCCTCTTTCGTCTCGTTCAACCACCTTAGCAACGCCAAAATCAGCAATCCGGGCTCCAAAATCCCCATCCAACAATATATTGTTCGACTTAATGTCTCTATGAACAATCGCGGGCACGCAATCATGGTGCAGATAAGACAGCCCCTCGGCCGCATCAATTGCTATCTTATATCTCAATCCCCAATCCAACAAACCACTCTTACTACTATGAAGCAAGTCTCCCAAGCTTCCATTAGGCATATACTCATAAACCAATAGCTTGCAGTCCCCCGTGACACAACAACACCAAAGCTTAACAATATTCTTATGCCTAACCTTACCTAAAGTTGATACCTCAGCTTCAAATCCATCCCCTTCAGAATCACCCTTTTCCATATCACTCCCGCTGTCGGCTACCTTTATGTTGCTTCGGATTTTCTTAACTGCAGCAGCTTCTCCGTTGCTCAAGACAACCTTGTACACCTTTCCCGACAATCCGCTTCCGATGACATTGTCTTCATCAAGAGAATTCACTATCTCAAACTCATCAAAACCGAGTTTGTGAAAAGACATCAAACTCCACTTTGATCTATCAATACCCTTTTTGGATTTGTTGAAGCTCTTGTACTTGGAATAGAACCAACCCACTCCTAGGATAAGAACAAAACCAGCTAACACAAATATTAACCAAACATAATGTTTATTTCCATCTCTCTTATCACATGAACCATGCATGTCTCCACACAAACTAGGATTCCCCAAAAAGCTGTCTCTGTACATCGGCTTTGCATACTGGGGCGGAATGCCGCCAGAGAGAAGGTTGTTTGACAGGTTTAGTTGATTCAGCTTCAGATTTTGTAATTCCATGGGGACTTTACCGGAAAATCGGTTTCTTGATAAATCAAGATAGTTTAAAACAGAGAGGTTACCAATTTCCACAGGGATGTTACCGGAGAAGCTATTGTTTGCCAGGTTCAAATCGTTTAATCTCGTCCAGTTTTGAATTCCCTCAGGGAGGGAACCTGATAGTCCATTGTTGTGAAGGTCTAATCTTCCCAACTGCTCAAGATTCACAATGCTGGCCGGTAATTGGCCGGAAAACTGATTCTCGTAGCCCAGAAAATCAACAAGATTGGCAAGAGAGCCGATTTCTCCCGGGATTGTACCGGAGAATCTGTTTTTCGATAAAAGTAGAAAAGATAGCTCTGAAGCACCCGATATTGTTTTCGCTATTTCGCCGGAGAATGAATTGTCTGTCAGCTCGAGCAAGGATACCCGGGGCAACCCCCAAATGCCGGCCGGGACGTCCCCGGAGAGCTTGTTATGCGCGAACCTCACACGACGTAGGCTTCGGCATTCGCTCAAGCTCGCCGGGACCTCGCCGGAGAATGAGTTGCCTATGATCAGGAGTTCCTCCAGAACACCCATTTCACACAAGGGTGCCGGGATTTCCCCTGTGAAGTCGTTATCAGAAACATCAATCATCAACAAAGGTTGGATTTTTCCCAGATCTTTTGGCAAGCTTCCGTTCAATTTGTTTGAGAAAAGACGCAACTCGGATAAATTCGGCGAATTCGCAATGCTTTCCGACAAGTTACCTTCCAATTTGTTCTCGTACAGAGCGAGTGACTCCAGAGGTAAACCACACAACTCCGGCGGGATATTCCCAGTCAACTGATTCATTGACGCATCAATCAGCCTCAACGCCGTCATATTTGACCACCCTTTCGCCGGAAGTTCCCCGGTCAACGAGTTATTATAGAGCTCAATCTGAACCACACTGGTCAACTCGGTCAACCAGGATGGGACCGGACCGCTCAGCCCATTGAATGCAAGGTCTAAATCGACCAGTTTGGTGAGCTGACTCAACGAGTCGGGAATTTCTCCGATCAGATTAGTGTTGGTCAGCCACAGGACCTCCAGATTCGATAAGTTCCCGAGCTCCGGCGGGATCCGACCCGGAGAAAACGGGTTATACGAGAGATTCAGCTGCTTCAAACTCGAAACATTCCCTAAAAACGCCGGGACTGTCCCGTCCAACAAGTTTTCGACTAGACCCAATACTTCAAGCCGCCGGAAACTCCCGAAACTCGCCGGGATTTCGCCGGAGAAATTATTCCCGCTCAAATCAAGGTACTTCAGTTCCGGAAGCTCGGCCAGAGTGTCCGTGAGAGACCCAGTCAAGTAATTCTGAGACAAATCGAGATGCTCCAGTGCCAGACAGCCCGACAACCCGTCTGGAATTATGGAGCTGAAAGAATCATTGAAAAACGAGATAAATCTCAGATTTTTAAGCCGGCAAAGAACATCCGGGAATGGCCCTCCGACATTCGCATTCGAGAGGTCCAGAGAGGTCACTGAACCTGACTCGACATCGCATTTTACGCCGAACCATTTACAAGGCGAGTCATCTTCTTCGTTCCATCCTGAAAGCGTGCCGTCTGGGTCATCCAGACCCAGCTTGGCACTATGGAGATACAAGACTTCTTGGTTGACTGAGAGAACGCAAAATGGGAAGACATGAAAAAGAATAAGAAAGACTTTAAAAATCATTATGAGGGCTTATGGGGTTCGAGGAAAAGCAATGGAAAGGCTATATATTAATTAGAGGGTGAGAGGGGGTGAGTAGCTGAGTATGATAGTAGCAGAAGAAGAAGAAGCTTGCTTCATTGCTTGCTCTGTAAAACGAGAAACTTGTTTTGGAGAAGTTGGGAATGAAAATGGTGTGTGCATTGATAAGACATGTGGGAATGAAAATGGTGTGTGCATGAATCCGAATGTGCATCATCCTCATTGAAGAAACTTTTCACATGTATATGTGCATAGATAATTTTATCATTACTATAAATACACAAATATTGATATATGGTACTTCGTATCTTTGAAAAAAGTCGAACGAGAATTCAAAAATAGTGGAACAGAGTTTAAGAAAAATGTTTTAATTGTATTAAATATTTATATTTATTTTACCTGAACAAGTATACGAACATAGTTAAAAAATTGTCGGTCAATTGACCAATAACTAAAAGGATCATAATTCCCAGACATAGATCTTTCTTATTGCGCGTGTAATATACGATAGTATAAAGTTTATTAGATAAATATTGAAATGCACAATAATTTCGGAGGGACATATTTATTGCACTACGTGGAAAATTGTCAAATCATTGTTTGTCAACATTCGCAAGACAGATATTATTCCGAAACATGTGAAAAACCCAAAGAGATTTAAAAAGTCTCGATTTCAAATTAGTTTGTTACTCTATACTCCCTCCGTCCCCTTAAGTTTGTCCCGTTTTACCTTTTTCGTCCGTCCCACTAAGTTTGTCCCATACCATATTTGGTAACATTTGAGTGGTTAGAATTCATTCTTACTTTATTTACACTTTATCAATTCAATACCAATCACACAATTACACTTTTTCTTAAAAACCACACCACACCCCTCCGTCCCAAACTTAAGAGGACGGAGGGAGTACTACCTAGTACATAATACTCCCTCCCTCCCAAAAACATTTGCCAAATTTCCCTTTTTGGATGTACTAAAAGGATTTGACATTTCCATTTAAAGTAAGAAATATGTGGCTAAAATTAATTCTCCCTTCTCTGCACAAATTTCAACCACACAATTTTTATTTTATTAATCCACGTGAAAGTCAATTTTGGCGAATCTTTTCGGAACGGAAGGAGTAACACAATATCAAATGATGATGACAATTTTTTTATTATTCAAAACTTATACGATAGTACTAAATCACCCAAAGTTTGACAAGATATAACAACAAATGTCATGACTAGATCACACACGCCTTTAGAATTTACCTGGATAAGATATGGAGTCAATTAGTACGACCTCCGTTCCACTAAGATTGAGACAAGAGAAAGTGACACGATTATTAAGAAAAGTGAGTTTGTGTGGTTGATATTAAATTGATAAAGTAAGAATAAAGTAAAAGTGATTTAGAGCCACACAAAGTTTACCAAATTTGGTATGGGACACTCTTAGTGGGACTTCCCGAAAAGGTAAAATGGGACAATCTTAACGGGACGGAGGGAGTACTTCGTAAAATCAATTAGACACGCTAGTCTTAATATAGCAATTGCAAGTTAAATATTTAGCACTTTTGTCCTTAATATTACAAAAATAAAGATAAAAGACAAAAATGTGACCTTTTTTATATTTCTAAAAATGTGACGAATTTCAAAATTCTATCCCGTAGTGACAAAGTGACTCGGGTCAAAGTGACTCCGATCATGACACTGACTTTGACACGCTTGCAATTTAATAAAGTCGATGATATATTAACTTTAGATTAACATGATCGATTGGAATTGGCCATTCCAGAATTTGTCCAATTCAATGAGCTGGGCACCTATGGTCAATTTCATTGACTTTATTGTCTTCTTATTAGAGCATCACCATTCCTAATCCCGTAAAAATCATATTTTCTAGCATTCTTGCCTTTTAAATATTCTTACATAATTAATTTTTAAATAATCTCAAAATCCATTTATACCTCCCAACCATCATCTTCAAATAATCCGCTTTTTTCTCCATCCGACATTAACGTATTACACATACTTATCAAATAATCGTAAGATAATCCGGATTCATATTTTGATCCCGGATTATTCTAGCAAATAATCTCATTAAATAATCAATGTCTCCCAATAATACTTCTCTAAAAAATCTGCCACGTCACTAATTTGATCCCTCAATAATCCTAACAATGAGGATGCCCTTATGAGTATTTGTCAAAATTTTGCATGGGTGTTTTTCTTGGTTTTAATATTCATATGTTTTACTTGTAACATTGTATTTCGATACATGTTATAATTATTTTAAATTCAATAGGAACGTTGCAGTACAATTTTACCAGAGTAAAATGCATAAATGGTCATTGAACTATCACCACTATATCGTTTTGATCCTTGAACTATTAAATCTTTCATTTTAGTCCTTAATCTATTTCATCTATATTAATCGAGTCCTTCCGTTAAATTTGCCATTAACTTTGACGGAAGCTAATTAATTTATTTACATCTCATAATTTTAAACATTTGGAACAATACAAATTTTAGTCGGGCGGATCGAAAAGAAAGGATGAGTTAACTTTAGTTATCAACGTTATATTTCAGTTATTTTTTTTTTTCAATTCAAGTCAACTTAAGCTGTACATCCAAACAGTACTAATTATGAAATTATTGGCTGAGTGTAAAATATTTCGGCCCTCTTTATTAGCTGAAAGGACCTAACGAACATAGTCTTAAACAGACTGGACCAAATCAGACCAGACTAGACAAACAAAAAAATTGAGTCCCATAAAAACATAATTATTTATATAAAAATCAAGTACTCCCTCCGTCCCATAATTATCTTCATTCTTTCCTTTTTGGTCCGTCCCAAATTTATCTCCTCTTTCCTTTTTTAGCAAAGGATTTGTGGTTCACAACCATTCTTACACATTTCCCTCTCCTCTGCACAACTCTTCACCACACATTTCCCACTTTCTTAATCTCCGTGCCCAGTCAAAACCGAAGTTAATTCTGGGACGGAGGGAGTATGACTTAACTAATATCATCTTTTGTCCCACAAAGATTGTCTCATCTTTTCATTTTGATTCGTCCAACTATGACTGTTCATACCAAATTTGGTAAAATTTGTGTGATTCTGTATCATTTTTAATTTATGAAGTCGGCGCCAGCTCATGGGGATGGCCGCGACGACAGGGGAGGTGTGTGTCGCGGCTATGTGGGCATCATGTGCCGCGACGATGTGGTTCTTAGAAGATGAGTAGGGAGTTCGAGTTTTATAATATCAATCTAAGAGTATATTCTGGTAAAAAAATGTAAGGGCAAATTTGTCCTTAAAATTTATTTATTTATTTATTTTATTAAATATTAAGAATTTAAATACGGATCAGAGTATTGTTTTTTTTTTTTTGGGGGGGGGGGGGGGGGGGCTAATGATGCCATGTACTGAAAAAGTGGATGGTTTTAGTCATACGAAGTTTTAATTTTTTTCTTAATATAATTAAATAATAGTAACAAGAAATAATGTCAAACATAATACCCCAGGCTGTTGAGTGGGCAAAAATAGAACCGATATTAGTTTGGACGAAAAAGAGACCCTTCAATCCCGTCTCGCTTACATACGACCTCTCCTTCATCCAGCCATCTGATACAACGACGGCTTCACCATCATCTAATCTCCCTGCGACCAACGACGACAGCTTCAAATAGAGACAGCGGCGACTTCAAGCCGTTAACGGCGGAGACGGATTCGGTTAACAGCGGAGAAGACTTCAGTTAACGGCGGCGACGGCTTCGGTTAACGGCGACGACGACGACTCCTCTCTATCGTTTCTCCTCCTTTCTTCTTTTCTGCAAACCGCCTCTGCTCGTACCGGCAGATCCACCGTCGTCCTGAGCAATCCGCCGTCTAATCCTGCGTAGATCTGAAATTGTCGACCCTTTGGGGTAGGTAATGGCTCGTGGGGGCGGTAAAGTGATGGCAGGTGGGTAGATCGGGGCAGTGGCGGGCTGGTCGGGCGGTGCAGGGGATGGTTGTTGGGGCAGAATGTCATAGTTGCAGGGGTTGGGGCGGGGTGTGGGGTTGGGCAGCAGTTCTGCAGTGGAATGGAGCTGGGAGGGGCTGTCGGGCCGGCAGCTGGGTTACTGACGGGGGAGGGCAGTGGCAGTAACGAGCGGTGGTCACCGGGAGTGGTCACTTGTCACTTTCGGCTTTGGTAACTGTGACTGGAGCGGGCTGTGGCACTGGCCGGCAGCCGACGCCGGTGACTGTCGGGTCAAATGAACTTTTATTAGGTCACTGACTCACTATCAAGCGAGTGGTCATTGTTCGGTCGGGTAACAGTTACTGCCTCACTGGGTTCGATTGGTCACTGGTTGATAGGTGATTGAGTTGGTCACTGGTCACTGGGTTCAGGTAATTGTAACTAATCGATCCGAGTAACTGTAACTGGTTGATCCGGGTAACTGTAACTTGTCGGTCTGGGTAACTGTAACTGGCTGATCGGGTAACTGTAACTGGTTGGTCGGGTAACTGTAACTGGTCAATCCCGATAATTGTAACTGATCGATTTGAATAACTGTAACTTATCGGGTCGGATAAATATAATTGATTTGGGTCAAGTACCTCTAACTATTTGGTCGGATAATTATAATTGGTCGGACATGTAAGGACGAAAAGGTAACTGTAACCGTTCGGATGAAATAATTGTAACTAGTGGAGACAAGTAATGGGGAAGGTTATAAAAGTCAACATCTTTTTTTACAGGGTCAACATTTTGTTTTTGAAAGTAACATCTCTTTTATTGCTCATTGCTAGCATTTTCACAATTGGGAAGTGGCTGGGCATAGGAGCCGCACGACGAATGATCCGTAGTACATGGGATACGTATGTGTGATGCCTGAGGGATGGTCTCTTTTCTGGAAACTATTAAATGAGGTCCTATTTTTGTCTAAATCATTTTAATTGGTATTATTGATGACATAACCCCTAGTAACAATCACTCTCATTTCCTTAATTTTATATAATTGATTATTTGATACTCTCTTTTATACTACGTATTATTTAGGCCGATTTTATATTATTTATTTATAATTTTTATATATGTGTGTACATATATGTATATTTAAAAAAACTAGATTATTTACTTAAATTTTAAGAATGATTGTATTGTTCCAAAATGTTTAAAAATATGAGATGTTAACAAATTAATTAGCTCCCGTCAAAGTTAACGGCAAATTTAATTAACGGAATGACTCAATTAATATAGATGAAATAGATTAAGGACTAAAATGATAGATTTAATAGTTGAGGACCAAAACGATATGATGATGATAGTTCAAGGACCATTTATGCATTTTACTCATTTTACCACGTGAAACAATATGTCACTGTATGCATCATATTCTAAATTAGTGAGTTAAGATCAGATTAGTACTTTAACATTCACAGAAACATATATATATATATATATATAAGATTTGGGCTTGTATACTACGTACGCCGCATGGACCGTATGATATATAATGTACTCGATAAGAATAATTTCATTAAGTGTTACTCGCATTTACTTATTACGGAGTACGACTTGTTAATTTTTTTATCATCAAACGGGCCTCTATTCATATCAAAAGATTCAGGATCATTACATCAAGCAAAAGGAAAATAAAACTGACACCAACTGAAACTTCAACAACTACGACTGTAACCCTATGGTGAGACTTTGAGACGGTCACCTCTGAGAGAGCAACACGAACAGGGCCGGTCCTGAGAAAACGGAGGCCCTGTGCAAGAATAAAATTTGGGCCTTCCTTTCTTACGCAAATAAAAATAAAACATAAACAAAAATGATAATAGTAAAAAATACTGATAATTTGTGTTAAATTAAAACTTTTAATTTTGCTGGGCTAATTAATTGGGCCAATAAAAATGCAGAACACTAGACTACTAATAAATACTAGTACTATTTTTTTTTGGGCCCTTCATTTTTTCGGGCCCGGTGCGGTCGGACTGCTCACTCCCCCCAAGGGCCGGCCCTGAACACGAATCGCTAATCATGTAGTGGACTTGACACAGCCAAACCTATTCTCATAGATCCAACCATACCCAATGACATAAAGAGAGACAAAAAAACTCAAACAAACTGTCAAACCCAACAACAAAAGTGGACACAAGAAAACAAATAACAAACAGATAAAAACTACAAGAAAAGCGTTCACGAACTCTTACACCCCGTACATCCCATGGTGGTGGTTCAGGAGGAGGTCTTACCACCGGTACCATGCTAATTGATACTCCGTGACCTTTGTCTGCCAAAGGCCATGCATCAATCCTCCGTCCCTGCATAACCAAATTCATCCCTGCTTCATGCAACCAGAGTAAACGGATAGGCGGCGCCGATCTTCTCCAACGACGACAGCAATACATCATCCTCGAACCTTGACCACAACGCCGATCTCCTCGAGCCATTACAGCAAATCCGTCCTTCGAGTATGAAGCACAAACAACAGCACCCGTCCTTCGATTAAAATCGAAGACAGAAATAGCGGCCGTCCTTCGATTAAAATCGAAGACGGAAAAAGCGGCCGTCCTTCGATTAAAATCGAAGAAGGAAAAAAACTCCAAGCGAAGCCCTAGAGAGAAGCGAGAGACGATCGAACTTTTTCCTCGTTTTTGTTTTTAATAATAATAGTACGACTTGTTAATTGAAGCACGGTTTATTCACCCATCAGTAAAGTAAATGATTTAATTATTAAATTACTACGTATAATATATTAGTCTTTCCCCTTAAGACAGCTATTTAGACGTTTATAAGACTAATTTTTTGAATCAGCAATCATGGGATAAATCATAGATCGATGTTTGTTAATTAAGAACAGCATTAATTGAAGATATATATAGCTCAATAGTAATAATATTAGAAAAAATTACATGGATATTACCATTTCAGAACTCTTTTACTTTAATATTACTAGGTATTATATTCGAATTAAAAAAATTAGAAATCGTTTTTATTATTCCGGTAGTGCCCCCGTCATAACGGTCTACACGCTCTCAAACTCTCTCGCTAATAATTACTCCACCTAAACTCTCGCGCCTTCTTTGCCGTAATTCTTGCCCAACCGAAACTCTCGCCATGAATATCAAGATTACAATCGTCTTTGAAATCGTTTTACTTGTAACCCCTAGGGCCTTTTGCGCTGAAAGGACAACGGGTTCTCTACAATCTGAGGCGGCAGCTTCCATTTCTGGGATTTGGTTTTGACGGTAAGAATTTTTTGTTTTATAGTAACTATTTCATTCATTGATTGTTTTGTTTGTTATCACAAATGTTGATGGGAATTCATCTACTTCTCGTTCAGTGTTCGCATCATTCATATTTAGGTCTGTTTGAACTAAAGTTGGTTATCTGATCTTGGCTACTTCAACGTTATTGACATTGACGTTTAAGTCAATAATACTTCCATAACTTCCTAGCCACTAAGGGCTGCTAATTCAGAAAAGTATGTAAATTGATGTCTTGGGAATTATTACTACGGATGTTATTCTTGTAAAGAAGGATGCCATATCATTGATTTGTTTGTTTGTTTTCATAAATGTTGATTGAAAATTTGAATTGCTATGTTGTCCCCACATGTTGATTGCTTAGTTTGTCATTCTGATGTTTGCTATCTTTCTCCAAAAAAAGATATGAAAACTGGCCAGTCTTTGTATAATTGCTATCATTCTTACATTATTGTGAAGCTTAGCATGGAAGAAACATAGGACTTCAGGCCCCCAACCCATCTGGTAATCAATTTCGCTATATGATTTTTTATTTTGCTTACTTTTAATCTGTTTACTTTTTAGCATATCACTCATTATTTTAATTCCCTTTTGAAAGAGCTATTCCCTAGACCCATTTGCTGAGTTGAAACCTCCATCTGCGCGGCTCAAGTTTACAAAGTTTATCATGCAAGGAGTAGTAAGAGGGCATAGATCTACATCTGTACCCAAGAAGTATTTACCAGAAGAAGAGAAATCAATTCATTTGGTTTTTTTCTATGATGTGGTGATAGACAGCAAGTCATGGATCTACCGTCTACATGAGCCTGAACAGTGTCTAGACGCCACGGTATGGTTTCTACTTTACATATGTGTGTGTGTATTTATATTCCTTCACCAAAATCAATTCACTTTCCTACCTTGAATCTTTACTTTTAATAACCGATCACAGTTACTAACTCATAGTTTTATTCAAATTATTTACTTGTAGCATGTTCAAGTAATATGCTTCTATCTCCGTATGAAAGCAGCTACGTATCCATACCCTGAAACGTTCTCCACTTGTGACACATACATCCCTGATTATTTGAATAAGCTGTATGATAAATACAAGGCAGGTACTGTTCATCCTAAAGATTCGCCCTCTGATGGTTATTTAGTGGAAGAAATAGCAGGTGCAGAGGAACTCTACATGCCACCATTCTGGGAGTGTGATCATGTTTACATACCTTTAAATCTCTCTCAAACGCACTGGTGTTTGGTTGTTTTGGATATTCACAATCACTGTTTGTGTGACACCCCGAAAAATTGAAATAAAATAAATAAATTTTATTAGTGATATAAAATGTTACGAGAGTCACATTTTAATAATTAAGGAAATCAGATAAATTTTTAACACCGGTGACATTTTTAATCAGATAAAAATGTTTCAATAATAAAAGTGTCATTTTAAATTTTAATTCAAAGATATCAATTAATAAGATTTGTACCGTAAAACAAAGTTGCCTTTCGAACCGAACAAAGATATATCAGTTAATAATATGTACATTACTATATATACTCACTCGGCATAAGATAATTCATGTGTACATTGGATAATGTGACATGCATGCCTATTATTAGTGCTAGTAGGTGAATGCCATGTGATATAACCCAAGTATGCTCAGAGACCACATGTAAGTGTCCTCCATATGCACCTGTCTTCCTCTCCTCATCATGCATACCAATAATAATACACCGCATATACATGCATAACAATAATTAGAGGAACAATACTGCCATACTCACCAATGAGCAGGGAGTATGAACCTGCGAGCAAGCTGCGGAAGAAGCCACGAAAATACACACCTATGACCTACCTATATATATACCTCCAAGGCTCGAACAACGTAACTAGCTACCTGCGCTTATATACGTAACATATAGAAACACACACACTCCTACGAAGTATATACGAATTAAACATGTGTGCCGGACTGCCGGAGGATCGGTGGAGGGCACAAGGCCACAGCCGTCGCCAAACCACCGCCTCCATAGCCAGGCCGCAAAGTCTCCGGGAAATTGTGGGAAGATGCTGCTGCTTTCCACCGGACCTCCTTCCCGTGTTCCGCCCTTTTCGCCGGTAAAGAGACCTGCTGCTCTGGATTAACGGAGGAAGAGTTACCAGTCTATTTCGCCGGACTACATCTCCACCAGACTGCTTGCTGTTGATGTCGAGAAGTCCAGAAGGGAAGAACGAACGCTGGAGTGCCGCTGCAAAAAGCTGAAACCGGACAGCCCCTACGCCGCGCGAATAACTAACTGCCGGACCAAGCCGCTAAGCAAGCCTCCATCACGCCGCCGCCGGAGGAAGAGAGACCTGGGAGGAACATCTCTGGCGAGCAAGCTTTGTGCTCACCCTACTGTGTGGGTCGAACGAGGACGACGACAAAGGAGTACGGCATACAGTACGAATAATCTGCTTCATCTTCGTTATTTTATACTCCGTAAATTTATAAGCTGACTAATTTGTTTTAACAATAATAAATAATGAAAAATTGGTAATTAAATCTGGAACGAGAATATTAAAAGTTGAAAATGGATTAAATAGATTCAAAATAATTACGTGGATAAATTTATCACTTTTTAACTGATACAATTGCGTAATGTTGAATAATGGAATGATTTGATTGTTTAATTAATCCAAATTGATAAACGATATGATTTATTATAATAAAATGATTTATTATAATAAAATATTGATTATTTCGAACTTAGTACCTTAACTAGATTGAATAAATTGGCTACATATTACTTACTAATTACTGGATTAATTAAAGTAGATTAACATAACTAAGGGATTCGGATATATTAAGTATTAGAGAAAAAGCAGATTAAATATATAACTATTAGTAAATTCATTAGGACGTTCGGATATATTATGGTGGATGAATAACTAAAGTGGTAAGATTAATAAATAACCTAGATTCGAACAATAAAATAAAAAGGGAAAATCGGGTAAACTTTTACAAACAGAATAAGTGACTGATTATGTCATCTTGATTAAAAAGGTGATTATTTAGAGACATGAACAGAGGAAGTGAATTAGGAGCATCATTTCCGAGGTAAGTTTCTCTGCCGATCCAAAATGGTTTTCTCGTATTATATATGTTATTACGTGTTTAAAGTGTGAATTTTGAATATGCATTATTTGAAGTGTCATTAAATTTATATGGGATATTTAATTAAGTATTTTTTTTAATCACCATTGAGAATGATTGGAGACTTGAGACATATTCTGTGTTATGTGATTATTATGTGCTATGTGATTATGTTTTGAGTTTTTGAATTATTTATAAGTGCTATTTAAAGAGATATTAAATCTATAGTATTTGAGAAATACAAATTATGTACTTTTGGGGTATTAAATATTTTTAAATACCTTTTTGACTATTTAGAGAGTTTGGAAAATATTTTGAAGTATATCTTGATACAAGATGAAAATTAACATTTTCATAAGAGGTGAGCACCCCGGGAGAAATCCGTGGTGTCGGTTTTTCACATCCGGATAAATGTGGAGGATGGTTAGGGCTACTACTACTTGAAGAGAACAAGTTTAGTAGTCGTTTCGATTCAAGAGAAAGTGGTGGGAACCGGATTCCGGGATGAGTTCGTAGATAACAACGACTCATTGGGCTTCGGGCATAAGTATCCGAAAGTACCGCCCATCTTAAAAGAAAGTAGGAGATTTTGATTTTGGAAAGAGGAAGAGTTACTATATTATTTTCAAAGAAAAGTTGAGGACTTTAGTAAAGAAGTGATTTTGAGAAATACCAAAGAGAAAAGAATTTTGGTGGAGTGTGTCATTTTTATATAGTATTATATGAAAAACTATTTTTCGCCAAACCTGATTATTTTACGGGGTTGGGTAGTACTTACTTAGCTCTAAAGCTAATTTTTGTTTTCTTTCCCCTTGTTTTGTTTTCTGCACTTTATTTGTGCAGGTAATGATGACTATGTTGATTGATGATTGCATGCGCCTGAGAGCGACGTAGAAGATGCCTTAGTCAAACCTAGTCAAGAATAAACACTTTAGTCACGTTGAACACTTGTTTTACTCTATTTTGTTTTGAAATAGCCTGTGCATTCGGTTAAGAGATGACCGGATGTGGCGGTAACACCCATTTCCCAATTAATGTTATTTCCGCTGCAAAACTTTTTATCTGTTTTGAAAGAATAAATCAAGTCTATTGTTAATAAATCTATTATTTCAAGTATTATTTTGGGAGGGAAAATGGGGGTGTTACAAATTGGTATCAGAGCCTTTGATTTTTTAAAATGGGGTTTCCAAACATTTTCTAAGATTATCTTAAACTCTCTTTATTTTAGTGATACCAACAAATTGGTATCAGAGCAATGGTTTTGGAGCATTTTTCAATGTGTTTTTTTTCCAAAAAGATTTCTAAACAAATTTTTCAAAGGTTTTCTAATGTTTCTTAAATTTCTTTAAGTAATACCAACGAATTGGTATTAGATATTACGATTTTCAAATTAGGGATTTTCAGGTAAATGTTTTCCTTAAGTGACTATGATTTTCAGAAAGATTTTCTAACATTTTTTTTTGAAATCTCCAATAAGTGATACCAACAAGTTTGTATCAAAGCTTTTATTTTCAAAAACAAAATTTGAAAATTTCCAATTAAGAAGTGTTCTCAATGTTTCTCCAAGAGCTAATACCGATTTTTTTTTATTAAATGCTTTTCAATAAAAAGAAACTTAGGAATAATAAATCGGATAAAGAAATAATAAGATTAGGATCGAGTGAGCTTGTGAGATTTTTATTTTTGCATGGATTATCATTATTATTTATAATTCCTTTAAATAGGCCTATGTGCACATTGTACGTATGTGTGATGTGTTTGGTTTTGAAGAATAGAGTATAGGATAATGCTTCGGGACGAAACATCTTTTAAGGAGGGTAGATTGTGATACTCCAAAAATTTAATAAAAAGAACTTATTATTAACTACTCCGTAAGATGTAATATCTGCTAGTTGTACTTACGGATATTTTCTTAGCTTATGCTTCGGGACGAAGCATCTTTTAAGGAGGGTAGAATGTGACACCCCGAAAAATTGAAATAAAATAAATAAATTTTATTAGTGATATAAAATGTTACGAGAGTCACATTTTAATAATTAAGGAAATCAGATAAATTTTTAACACCGGTGACATTTTTAATCAGATAAAAATGTTTCAATAATAAAAGTGTCATTTTAAATTTTAATTCAAAGATATCAATTAATAAGATTTGTACCGTAAAACAAAGTTGCCTTTCGAACCGAACAAAGATATATCAGTTAATAATATGTACATTACTATATATACTCACTCGGCATAAGATAATTCATGTGTACATTGGATAATGTGACATGCATGCCTATTATTAGTGCTAGTAGGTGAATGCCATGTGATATACCCCAAGTATGCTCAGAGACCACATGTAAGTGTCCTCCATATGCACCTGTCTTCCTCTCCTCATCATGCATACCAATAATAATACACCGCATATACATGCATAACAATAATTAGAGGAACAATACTGCCATACTCACCAATGAGCAGGGAGTATGAACCTGCGAGCAAGCTGCGGAAGAAGCCACGAAAATACACACCTATGACCTACCTATATATATACCTCCAAGGCTCGAACAACGTAACTAGCTACCTGCGCTTATATACGTAACATATAGAAACACACACACTCCTACGAAGTATATACGAATTAAACATGTGTGCCGGACTGCCGGAGGATCGGTGGAGGGCACAAGGCCACAGCCGTCGCCAAACCACCGCCTCCATAGCCAGGCCGCAAAGTCTCCGGGAAATTGTGGGAAGATGCTGCTGCTTTCCACCGGACCTCCTTCCCGTGTTCCGCCCTTTTCGCCGGTAAAGAGACCTGCTGCTCTGGATTAACGGAGGAAGAGTTACCAGTCTATTTCGCCGGACTACATCTCCACCAGACTGCTTGCTGTTGATGTCGAGAAGTCCAGAAGGGAAGAACGAACGCTGGAGTGCCGCTGCAAAAAGCTGAAACCGGACAGCCCCTACGCCGCGCGAATAACTAACTGCCGGACCAAGCCGCTAAGCAAGCCTCCATCACGCCGCCGCCGGAGGAAGAGAGACCTGGGAGGAACATCTCTGGCGAGCAAGCTTTGTGCTCACCCTACTGTGTGGGTCGAACGAGGACGACGACAAAGGAGTACGGCATACAGTACGAATAATCTGCTTCATCTTCGTTATTTTATACTCCGTAAATTTATAAGCTGACTAATTTGTTTTAACAATAATAAATAATGAAAAATTGGTAATTAAATCTGGAACGAGAATATTAAAAGTTGAAAATGGATTAAATAGATTCAAAATAATTACGTGGATAAATTTATCACTTTTTAACTGATACAATTGCGTAATGTTGAATAATGGAATGATTTGATTGTTTAATTAATCCAAATTGATAAACGATATGATTTATTATAATAAAATGATTTATTATAATAAAATATTGATTATTTCGAACTTAGTACCTTAACTAGATTGAATAAATTGGCTACATATTACTTACTAATTACTGGATTAATTAAAGTAGATTAACATAACTAAGGGATTCGGATATATTAAGTATTAGAGAAAAAGCAGATTAAATATATAACTATTAGTAAATTCATTAGGACGTTCGGATATATTACGGTGGATGAATAACTAAAGTGGTAAGATTAATAAATAACCTAGATTCGAACAATAAAATAAAAAGGGAAAATCGGGTAAACTTTTACAAACAGAATAAGTGACTGATTATGTCATCTTGATTAAAAAGGTGATTATTTAGAGACATGAACAGAGGAAGTGAATTAGGAGCATCATTTCCGAGGTAAGTTTCTCTGCCGATCCAAAATGGTTTTCTCGTATTATATATGTTATTACGTGTTTAAAGTGTGAATTTTGAATATGCATTATTTGAAGTGTCATTAAATTTATATGGGATATTTAATTAAGTATTTTTTTTAATCACCATTGAGAATGATTGGAGACTTGAGACATATTCTGTGTTATGTGATTATTATGTGCTATGTGATTATGTTTTGAGTTTTTGAATTATTTATAAGTGCTATTTAAAGAGATATTAAATCTATAGTATTTGAGAAATACAAATTATGTACTTTTGGGGTATTAAATATTTTTAAATACCTTTTTGACTATTTAGAGAGTTTGGAAAATATTTTGAAGTATATCTTGATACAAGATGAAAATTAACATTTTCATAAGAGGTGAGCACCCCGGGAGAAATCCGTGGTGTCGGTTTTTCACATCCGGATAAATGTGGAGGATGGTTAGGGCTACTACTACTTGAAGAGAACAAGTTTAGTAGTCGTTTCGATTCAAGAGAAAGTGGTGGGAACCGGATTCCGGGATGAGTTCGTAGATAACAACGACTCATTGGGCTTCGGGCATAAGTATCCGAAAGTACCGCCCATCTTAAAAGAAAGTAGGAGATTTTGATTTTGGAAAGAGGAAGAGTTACTATATTATTTTCAAAGAAAAGTTGAGGACTTTAGTAAAGAAGTGATTTTGAGAAATACCAAAGAGAAAAGAATTTTGGTGGAGTGTGTCATTTTTATATAGTATTATATGAAAAACTATTTTTCGCCAAACCTGATTATTTTACGGGGTTGGGTAGTACTTACTTAGCTCTAAAGCTAATTTTTGTTTCCTTTCCCCTTGTTTTGTTTTCTGCACTTTATTTGTGCAGGTAATGATGACTATGTTGATTGATGATTGCATGCGCCTGAGAGCGACGTAGAAGATGCCTTAGTCAAACCTAGTCAAGAATAAACACTTTAGTCACGTTGAACACTTGTTTTACTCTATTTTGTTTTGAAATAGCCTGTGCATTCGGTTAAGAGATGACCGGATGTGGCGGTAACACCCATTTCCCAATTAATGTTATTTCCGCTGCAAAACTTTTTATCTGTTTTGAAAGAATAAATCAAGTCTATTGTTAATAAATCTATTATTTCAAGTATTATTTTGGGAGGGAAAATGGGGGTGTTACAGTTTGTCTATCTACGACTCAAGCATACGCCGTGCTACTAAGAAACCCAAGACTGTGGAGTACATGCGTGGCCTGATTCATTACCTTCCAAAGGTTGTAGCTGCACTCAAGGCCCATCACCAGAAAACATCATTCAATGATGCTCAATCATACAAATTGGAAGTCATTAAAGATGTACCGCAACAGGATAATGGGTAATCACTAAATCATTCTAAGATTTTATTCCTGTTTCCAAATTAAGATTCTAATTACTACTTTTATTGCAGGGGAGATTGTGGTATCTTTATGCTAAAGTTTGCGGAGCTTCTACAGATGGGAATTGATGTCAAGAAGCTTTGTCCTTCCAAGATTCCAGAGTATCGGGCAAAGTGGGCTCACGACCTCTATCTATATGGGGACCGAAATAAGGACGAAGTGTAGCTCCCTAAGATGCACATCACACTTCATTTTATATAATGTCAATCTGCCTAGTATAACTTATTTTTGAATCATCCCGCACTGTTTGCTGTTACTTTTGTTGCACTACTGTGCACCGTTCAACTTTGATATTTTTTGTGATACTCTTTCATTGAGCCAGTATGAACAAGTATTTATATGTTTATGACAATACTCGTTGCAAATCAATACAACAGTTGGGCTTCAAACTCTTTATCTTTGTACTCAACTCATTTGTGAATTACTATTTCCTGGACTATATACATCGGTTATCCTTGTCATAAGTCCAGTACTAAAAAACACATATCACATTTCATCAAAACCTCATTGAGGTTTTCAGTCTTACCATCTCTGTGGAAAAGATGCACCAAAACGTATAAATAAACATCATACCCCAGTCAGTAAAACGAGGCAATGATAAAACCATATAGCCAAGAGCTAACGGATGCTAAGTTATCACCTAACATTAGCATGAGTACAGTGACATCGCACTGTAATACTTAAACAAATTGTATGTTATGAATCAGTAACTATCACTGTGCAAGTACAACTTTGACATCACAGTTTACACGTACGTTCAATAATAAAACAATATCATAGTTCAATAGCATAAATGAAATCCACTAAAACATGACTGCAACTTTGTCGAAAAAAAAACAAAAAATTCTAGCAACATCATCTCGCATCATTTATAGCGGTATCGGGTTATTACAAGTCTTTTGGTTATGCCCCTGTTGCTTGCATCTTGTGCACTTCTGTCTTGATCCAAATTCACCGACAGAACGAATCCTCTTTGACTTCGGCCTCCCGACAGTTCTTGTTTTGCATATAGGAGGTTTAATCAAGCACGTCCTATACTCCTCTGGAAGTTCATCTTCTGAATATGAACCAATGGGATAAACAATTCCAGAATATGCCCCACGCCATGAGCTTGTCTTGTAATAAGCTGACACATAGTCATAACATGATAGACCATTTAGGTGTCCTATAAGAGCAACCGCATGAACACACACAAAATCTTCCAACTGGAATTCTCTGCAAGTGCATCTCCTTTCCTCTAGATTCACCACAAATGCCTTACATGACAAGTCAATTACTTCTGCGCTGACACCCGTACTTGGTTTGACCTGCAGTATCATTTAACCACCCACATTTTAAATTATTACAGATCACAATATGTAATACATACATAACCATTATTTACTAATAAAACATAGTTTAATAAGGTTTTACTTACTATCATTCCACGACTACTAAAGAGACGCTCCACTAGCATTTTTTCGGCAGCCGGTGTTAATGTTGTGGTTGTTTCATTGGCCAAAGTCCTCCTCTTAAAGAACCAATCTTGCATTTTATCCCTCAAATACTCTATAAGAGTAGAGATGGGATACTCTCGTGCTAATCGATCCATAGCATTCATGGATTCAGCATTATTTGAGGTCACGATTGAGTACTTTCGTCGCTTAAATGCAGACCTAGCCCATTTTTTTCCCAATCTTTTCGAGATAAGTTCTTATTCTAGGATCTTCAGCGTCTAGTAATCCCAACAAGTATTCACACAATTTACTTGTTGAGGCCCTCGCTGCTGCATTAACGAGGTTAGTTACTCGTTTTTTCTTGCCACGAAATTTTGTCGTTATATTTCCCAAAATATGCTGCACACAATAACCATGATCTGCGTATGGATACACTTGCTTAACCGCGTTAATTATACCCTCATTCCTATCTGAAACAACACACAAGTCTTGCCTGTCTCCAATAGCTATTTTCAACTGTGTGAAGAACCACTTCCATGTATCGTTATTTTCCCTATCGCACACTCCAAAACCAATAGGAAATATCTGTCTATTTCCATCAAGACCACACGCAGTCAAAAGTGTTCCCCTAAATGTTGCTTTCATGAACGACCCATCAACTATTATAACCGGCCGACACCACTGCCACCCACTACTCCATGCTGCCAATGACATGAAAAAATATTTGAAATTCTGCTCATTGTCTGTCTCCAGTGCTATATGTGATTCTGGATTAGCTTTTAATAGCATATAGCACAACCCGGGAAGCTTCCTATAAGACTCAAAATCAGATCCGGTTAATGCTCGCAGCGCACACTCCTTCCCCCTCCATGCTTTTTGGTAATTCATCTTCACTCCTAAACTGCGTTTCAAGTCTGCCATTATACATTTGGGCTGATATGGCTTTCTTGAGGCATCCATATACTGATGTTTCACCAATTTACCAATAAGGTTTGCACTTGCTTGGCGACTCCCATTTAATCTATCATCAATAGAGCATGTATGGACGTCGTCAAACCTGTTTATTCAATTTACAAATAATAAATAAACTTCATTACATCACAATATAACTATTTTCCTACAACTCATATAAACTCATCAAATCATTTTCACATTACAGTAATTTATTTTACTAGGGAAACATCATGGTTCGGTTAGATTAATCGTACCTTCTTACTTTGAAGCATTGTGTGTCTTTGATCCTAACCCCTCTAACTGCCCACTTGCATTCAGGCCTCCCAAGGCACACAACATGTAAAACTCCTGGGTGAGATGTTTTTGTAACATACTGGAATTTATTCCTAAGCGCGTACAATTGTAGGGTCTCTTTAAAATCTTCCTTACTTGGGTATATTGCATTCATTTGTAGTCTTGAGCCTAACAAATCACCTTCTGCATCATGTCCATACAAAATGCTATCCGAACACAGTGGCATCTCCATGCTAATCCTTTCATGACTCTCACTCCCAGGAAAAACTTCATCATTGCTAATACCATTCCTAGCCACAATCATTCCTTCATTCCCACACGTCTGCACTTCAATCTCGCTACCTTCCAGTTCTACACACATCGGAAATGCCCCTATTTTATCCCTAACACTGTTCTTTATTTGCAAATAAAAACGCAGGCTCATATCACTATCAACAACAGCAGGTGTAAATGCCTCATCAATAAGGTATGCAATTCGAAACTTCTGGTCTTCTTTATCCACTTTTAATAAATCCCTCAGCGTAGCCACAAGTTCTTCAAACGTTGTCGCACAATTAACAACCATACCATGCGTGGATTTAGTTTGAAATACCTTCTTTTCATCCCACCCATTCCCCGCCAACACTGTCAATAACACTTGTTCCATTTCGCTGCAAAAAACTAGTAACACTTTTGACAAACGATAACAAATACGAAATATGTTATTTTGAAGAACGAGTAACAAGCTTCCAGACTGGCATCTCTTTTCAAAAAAAAAAAATGAATACAACATCCATATTTCCAGGTAAATTATGTCACTTGAACTATCCAACTTCATTACTTAAACTAGAAACCAAATCATTAACAAACTATCACTATCTTCTACAGCTACTACAAGCCACGCACATAATCCACAATACATTACTATGTCCAGTTCTCAAATGTATTTACCGGAAGCTATAACGGTGACATTACTACACATTCATTCCACTTTATCCACCTTAATCGTTCCTCAATAATCATTACTCCATTTTTCTTTACTGTAATCCTACTTCCTTTACATCATGAACGTAGCACACAATCCTAAGCCCAATCCTCTCAGGTAGTACTAGTCATGCGCGGTACTCACATGTCATGATTGTTAATCACAAATCATTATTTACTGTTATTTACTTACCTGTCACAAATGTAATTACTGACACTTATAAACTTGTCATTACTACACAATCATGGTAAGAATACCAAATCAATCCAACCTCTTGGTTCATTACCCCATCTCCAGACTACAAATTCACGGTCTGAATATCATTACCGTATACCACAATCTAACAGTCATGAACATAGAACACAACTGTGCCAATTACTAACCCATACAAACGTCTCGTTACTACTCAATCACTACCACTCCAACTCTACGTCAAACCACAAATCTTGTTGGTTCATTACCACCCGTCATTAGTATACTATCATGACGTTTATTTATTATGAACGTAATCCACCATTTATGTCTCAAAATCATTTCTCAATGTTAATTACTAGAAAAAATTCAACCGTAAACCAAAGAACACCATATCAATGCTCAAGTAATTCTAAAATAGAGGAGGAAACCTGCAAAATCCGCCTCTTCTTCACCTTCGGAACATCAAAAAGTCGCCCCTCGAACTGCGCTTTCTAAGTCTGGCTTCGAATGAATTGATCCCGGCTTCCGTACGTTATGACTACAACATTCTTACGTTACCTGTTTCTCCGCTCATGATTACGCCAGATTTCCTGAAATTTAGTCCTCTCCATAACCGTTTTAGGGCACCCAGGTAATTTCCCTGCATTACTAAACTCCCAGCGTGCGTGTTTCGTAGTTTTAGTCATATTCATGTAAACTCATGTATTAGTAGTAATATTTATATAAAAAACTCAAACAAATATGTTAGGAATAAAACACACAAATATCGATCTTAGTTCAAACATGATTTAATAGTAAACGGGACCTTACCCCTTTTCAGCATTAAACAAAGAATGAAATGCCTTTAGAGTAGAGCTAGGTGTACACAAAAGTTGTACATTTGTCTGTCTCCCATAGACAAGTGTACAACTTTTGTGTACACCAATCTTTTTTCAACGCCTTTAATCATCTCGGACTCCAAATATTTAATACGTAGTACTACGTATATGCCACTCTAGATATATAGGCTCATGTGCTCTCATCAGTTAAGAAACTCATTACTCGCAGTAAACAGCCAAGAATTAAGGGCAAGTAACTTGCATCTTCGTTCCTACTTGGGTAAAAGACGCACTAGTGCACTACCGTGGTGTGACAATTGTGACGGTGCTGAATAAGTTTACGGAGTATTAAATCTGGCTGTATTATGTGCATAAAGTTTGCATAAAAAACATAAATCGCACTGCTATTTTTTAAATTTCCCTTCGTAGAACTAAACATTGATTTTCTATCCTAAATATCCTTAAGGGTATTCATTCATAATGAAATGTTTTAATTCATAATAAAATGTTTTAATTCATAATGAAATCATAAAAATAAGAAAAAATAATAAAAAGATAATGAAATATTTAAAAAAATAATAAAAAATAGTAAAATCCCATTAAATAAAAAAATATGGATACCTTTCCCACCGTCTCCCAGCACCACTGCCTCCGATCGGTGAAGATTATGCCTGCCATTTTTTTAAAGGCCAAGAAAATGGCACTATTACAGTCGATAATGCCAAAATTATCATTGAATCTACCATTATATGACATTACTAAAAATGTTGGCAGATTTTTTTCCGGTGATCAGAGCTGGTGGTGCTGATGGTGGCAAAGGCAACGGTGTTTTTTTTACGTTTGTAATTTTTTTAATTTTTTAATTTTTTTATTTTATTTGAATATTTTATTAATTTTTATAATTTTTTTACGATTTGTATTATCTTTTATGATTTTATTATGAATAAAAATATTTCAAAAGCTACAAGGGTACATTTCACTACACACAAATAGTTCTACTGGGGGTTTAAAAAGTGTAGCTCTATTCGTGCTTTTTGATCATTTTTAGTCCTATTTAAATAATTCACTCTACAGCAAAACCAAGTGATTATAGCGGATTAGCAGTTACCATAAGTTCGTAACACTGATCATTTTAATTTGATTATTGTTTAATGTGTAGTGACTATTACGGGAATTGAAAGATTAGGTACGGCAATATTCACCAAGCTTTCTGCACAAATCAACCGAGAAAATACAATTTGTTTAATTTCTTACACCTATTAAATTACAACAAAAAGATAATATGTTTCATATCACAATTACTACAAAATTGAGAGGGTGTGAAATCGGAATACAAGAACCAGGGATTAATTTGATAGAGCCAGAGCAACGATCTCCCAATTTTTGACACAAAATTAGTGGTTAAGACGGACTATGTTTTTAGTTGTATACCTGTATGTGTTGGTATTGGCCCCCTATTTCTTAAGCCCAATTACTCCTAATCTATTAACCGGCCCATGTTCTTACTTTGAATCTACCGATTTGCACCGGCATTCTTCCTTCCTCCAGCTGCGATTCTTTCCTTCTTGGCCTTTGAGATATTCGGTGATATCTTTCTCTGGTTATGGTAAATTTCCTTACCCGTTTTTATGCTTGGCCCTATTTAAACGTGCTTCTCTTCTATCGATTGTGCTGGCCGATTATCTCATACCCAGAACCAGTCCGCCCTTATTTCTTCCTTGGTGGGTTTCGCCGGAAATAGACCGAGTTGGCCGGAATAGGTTGTAGGTTGTTGCCCACATACTCCCCTTGTGATCCTAGTGGCTTATTGTCATCCTTTGTGGGTGAATTTGGTTGAGACCTGAGCTGGAAGATGTTCTAACAGTGGTATCAGAGCCACGGAGGGACTGCCGCCGCCTCGCCGCTGCTTCGCCGCCGCCTCGCCACCGTACGCCGTCGCCGAAGGTCCTGCAGTTCTGCCGCAGTCGGTCCTGGGGTTCCAGCATCGGTCCAGAGGGTTCCAGCCGTCCAAGGAGGTCCTGCCAGTCCGGTCCAGACCTGTTGCCGCTGCGTGGGAGATTCTGCCTCCAGTCTGCCGCCGGTTCAGTCCGCTGCCGCCTGTCCAGTCCGCTTCCACCGAGTCTACAGCAGCCCACGCTGCCTACGGTAAGTCGGGTAACCCAACCTCGGGCCCCGCTCAGGTTAATTGGCGATAAACATCCTTGGTGTACCAGAGTGCCACCGGATTTATTTTTCCCCCGCTCCCCCGCTGCTGACCTACGTGATCTTGGAAGCCGACTGTGCCCGGCCCCAGGTACGTTTACTAATCCTTTGTGTGATTTTTATTCGTAGTTCATTCGTTTTAATTTCAAGTTTAATTGCAATTACTTGGTTGTTTGAATTGTGATTTCTTGTTGGTTTGTGATCAATTTTTTCCGGTGAAGAATATTTTGTTTGGATACTCGTTGTCCATAGTTGTGAATATTTCTTCCGGTATAAATTTAATCGCGTGTTGGATTTTTTGATTTTGATTTTTTCTGTTAATTGATTCGTGGATAAACTCTCCGGTTAAGAATATTTGTTTGGATACTTGTTGTCCGAAGTTGGGAATATTTCTGTCCGGATTAGTTTTAAATCCAGTTTCTTTGCTTGTTGATTTAATTCTAGCCTATTTGTGCTTGTACGAAAGAACAAGGAGATTGTACCCCGAGTTTTGTGTTCATTGGTCTTCTCGGCTTGTTCGTGCTAGTTGCTTCGTACAATTGATAGCCCTATAGGTTATAATTAATCATTTATCTGTCTGTTGAGTAAATAAAAATTTTATCTTGCTTGTACGAAAGAACAAGGAGATTGTACCCGAGCCTTGTGTTCATTGGTCTTCTCGACTTGTTCGTGCTAGTTGCTTCGTACGTTACGAAAGAACAAAGAGATTGTACCCGAGCTTTGTGTTCATTGGTCTTCTCGGCTTGTTCGTGCTAGTTGCTTCGTACTGTTCTTTGCTTGATAATTTTTTATTTACTCCCTTGCGTGTTGTGCTTGCTTTCCGGTTAATATGGCTGTCAATCAATATGGCATGCTTCCTTTTATCGGAAAGACGGATTTTGATATCTGGAAACAGAAAATCAAATGCGTGTTGATCCAACAGAAAGTCTATAGAGCTGTGACTGGTCTCTATTTAGACTCTGAGGATGCTGCAAAGCGCGTTGAGATGAATGAAACTGCTTGTTCCTCTATATACCTGAACCTTTCTGATTCAGTGCTCAGGAAGGTGGGTATTATAGATTCTGCGAAGGATTTATGGGACAAGTTAGATAAGTTGTATACTGATACTTCTTTGCCTGGTAAATTGTTTTTGCTTGAGAAGTTCTTTAGAATTAGGCTTGACCTGTCTAAGGACATAGATGAGAACCTAGATGTGTTTAACAAGCTTATTCAGAATATTAAGCAAGCCGGTGATAAACACATAGATGACTACACACCCATAGTTTTACTTAATGCCATCCCTGACTC